AGCTACCCACCAAGGCACAACGAACAGGAGGATCAACAAATTTAGCTGTTGATCATCATGCTGAGATACTTCATCCCTGTCGCATGCACGCCCCACAACAGTACACTGCTAGGCTCCATCAGTTTTATACACAATATTAAAAGGAAAAACTAATTTTAGTTATAAGGAAAAGCTAGTTTGGGTCATGATGCTTTTGAGAAGCGTCACTCTGTTTTCCAGCTACCTGGCACAGAGCCTGACAGAACTTACGCAAGCATAAAAGTCTACATAACACATAATTATCTTAGGGTTCGGGGTCCGGACAAAACTGTTTGTCTAAACAACTGCTGCTGCATTTGCCAAACTCTTTCCAAGACGCTAATATTCAAGGGTACCGTAAAATAGAAAATGGGCATCATAATAGCAACCTCAGCAAATCAACAATCCCAAAGAACATGGGAAGCGGGGGAATTCCTCAGGAAGCAATGTGACCAGTCCACCAGGAAGAACAGACAAGGTTTCATCCTTACTATCTCAAGCCGTGACCTATGGTGGGTGGGGACTCTGGGTCCAAATAATGCAGGGAGCCTAGATTTCCCCTTAGCAAAACCAGATGTTTCCCTGCCATTATGGAGCCAAGCATCTGAACATAATAATGAAGGATCATTCATCAGCCTTTCCTTTCCTTCTTCTTCCCTATCTTATTCTAGAGATAGAGTTCTAGCTCGTGACTTTCTATCTATTGACAGAGGCTGTAATCAGGATTACATGGTGGTGAGTTCCAAAGAAATCAGCACAGTTTACTCTCAATTAAGTGTTTACCAGATTATTATTTTTTAAATCCTGCTTCCTTTTAAAAAAAAAGCTCTCAAAGCAACTTAAAACTAGAAGTAAACAATCCCTTAGGAAGATGTACAACTGTCCATCAATAACTTCCTCCTATGAGGGGGTTAGGGGGTTTTGTGTGTGGTGGGGGTGGTTCCCCACCCCACCCCCCGGAAACCCCCAACCACATCAGCATTGCTAGAATTCACCAGAAGGCAAAACTACCGCCTACAAGTTTACATGGAGTTTCACTAAGTGACACATACTGTCTCACTTCTGCAATTCTTCGCTTCCCCTCACGCCAGGAAAATCACACACTCCCTCTGCCAAAAACAACCTTCAATATGAAACAGCTGGATTATTCGGAATATTCTGTTTGGCCAAGCCATTTTTAATAGCCAATGTAGAAATCAAGACTAGGAAGACCTTGGTCCAATCTCATGACAGCCATAAATTAACTGGGTGGCCTTAAGCAACTCTCCTTCGCTTCTATTTTCCACTTACAAATTTGCATCGTAAGTTTGAACAGAGAGAATTGTTGCCAAGGATTCAGCATACAGATTGTGAAAACAGTTTAAGAAATTATAGTCAGTATGGCATAGTGCATAGAGTGCCGTATTAGGACTTGGAAGACTTGGGTTCAAATCCCTGCTGAAGTGAAGCTCACACAGTCAAATGCTAAATTCCTCCCACAGGGTTGCTGTGAGAATAAGAGGAGGATGAGCAGAACCATGGATGCGGCTCAGAAATCCTTGGAGGAAGGGTGGAATGACAAAGTAACTTTACTAACTTCAACGTAATAATGAATGAAAAGGATGCAAATCCTTCCTTTAAAAAATGGTCTTATACACTTACTAAGAAGTAAAACTCACTGAGCTCATTATGACTTCCTTTTGCGTAAGCAAGTATGCTTGGATTGCTCTGTCAGCATAGGATTGTGCCTGCATGATACAAGACACTGGAAGCTGATTCATAGAGAGTCAGGAGGTAAGAAAGGATATGGATTTCAGCATACATGAGCAGAATATTATCTTTTGGTGCTGCGTGTATGGACATTAAGGCCATTAAACAGGTAGAGGGATGAATCCGTTTTACAAGAAATAAGCATTTCGAAACAATTCAAATCAAGAATTCCTTCTCTCTTCTAATTTCACACAAAAGGCGGGCAGAGCAATCAGTAAAACGCGTCTGAAAATCATGTTGAGTCACTTGGGCTTGCATGCTGTTGAGAACACTTTCAGTGCAAGTTGCTCCATCCTCCTGGAACTTTCATATATTTTCCTCAAATGTATTTGCTAATGCTATTCTAGGCTGCATCAACCAAAGTATAGTGTCCAGATCAAGGGAAGTAATAGTACCACTATATTCTGCCTTGGTCAGATGACACCTGGAATACTGTATCCAATTCTGGGTACCACAACTTAAGAGGGATGTGGACAAGGTGTGCAGAGGAGAGCAACCAAGATGATCAAGGGTCTGGAAACCAAGCCTTATGAGGAACGGTTGAGGGAACTGAGTATGTTTAGCCTGGAAAAGAGGTGACTGAGAAGAGATATGATAGCCATCTTCAAATATCTCAAGGGCTGCCACATGGAAGAGGGAACAAGCTTGTTTTCTCCTACTCTGGAGGGTATGACTTGAACCCATGGCTTCAAGTTACAAGAAAGGAGATTCCGACTAAACATCAGCAGAAACTTTCTGACAGTAAGAGCTGTTTGACAGTGGAACAGACTCTCTTAGGAACTTGTGGACTCTCCTTCCTTGGAGATTTGTAAGCAGAGATTGCATGATCATCTGTCATGGATGCTTTAGCTGAGATTCCTGCATGCAGGGGTTGGACTAGATGGCCCAACTCTACAATTCTATTATTTCCAGCCTTTGACCAAACAATTTTGGGGAACAAACATAGGATGCTGTCAGACCACATTGGTCCATCTAATTGAATATTGTCTATATTCAGCACCATTCTTCTAGAAAAAGAGGTGCCTGAACTCACCACGAATGCCTCCCTTGTTCTCTTATAATGGCAATGGCGCCCACTTAGTTCCGGCAAGTTCCAGCTGGGGGGGGGAAAAAGCCCCATCTATATTGACTGGCAGAGGCTTTCCGGCATTTCAAACAGCGAAATTTCCCACCCCTATCTGGAGATGCCAGGAACTGAACCTGGGACTTTCTGCAATGCAAAACAAATGCTCTGCTAACAAGCTACACACCTTCCTCCTCCAACAATGACATCCATTTTCCTCAGCATATAAAGATCTCAGTTATCTGACTACCGTACGTAGCTGCAAAAGCATATTGCTAAGTAGGCTCTTAAGGCACATTTCATCACTTTGGTGCTAACAGAATAATATGTGCAGCAGCAGATACGGCAATTAGCTTAACATACCTAGGCATTATTCACACAAGTGAACATTAAAGCATTGTCAGGCGGCCTATAAAAACTGTGCTGTTAAATGTTTATCTCAAAACCTGCTTGGGTTTACCAGGCCTTTTCCATGAATGAAGCAGATTACAAAGACTTCCACATTTGCTAGAAATACTATTTCAAAAGAAGCAGCGTCAGAGTCTACTTCCACATTAAGCAGAATAACTATTTCAGAGGAACTATTGCTAAAAGACCGATTCCCACAGTAGCTATAGAAATACTACTAATTCAAAGAGAAATAATAAAATAAATAAATAAATAAAAAATGCAAGAAGATCAAATGCATCCATTCTTAAGGAAATCAGCCCTGAGTGCTCACTGGAAGGACAGATCGTGAAGCTGAGGCTCCAATACTTTGGCCACCTCATGAGAAAAGAAGACTCCCTGGAAAAGACCCTGATGTTGGGAAAGATGGAGGGCACAGGGAGAAGGGGACGACAGAGGACGAGATGGTTGGACAGTGTTCTCGAAGCTAGAAACATGAGTCTGACCAAACTGCGGGAGGCAGTGGAAGACAGGAGGGCCTGGCATGCTCTAGACCATGGGGTCACGAAGAGTCGTACACGACTAAACGACTAAACAACATTTCCCATGCCATAGTATAGAAACAGTACTACAAAGTATCTTGTGGCACCTGCAGAAGAATGTACAGTATTACCGAACTAAGGCTAATTTGCTAGCCTTAAGGTTAACACACGACTTCTTTTGCTGCAGCAAACTAATGTGCACTTGCATAGCAGTAAACCCCATTGAACTCAGTGGGCCTGAGTAACCCTAGAAAGAAAGGATTGCTCTAGGAAGTTAAAGAAATAATATTGCGGAGAGGATAGCCACCTAGAAACAAAGTGACATATATAAATACTTCTATGTAGATTAATAACCACAACTGTTTCAAATAAACTATTCATGAACGACTATTTCCCACAGTAGCTTTAGGAGTACTAAAATGTGAAACTGCCGCATGACAATACATAAAGGGGCTGAACCAAGACAAAAAATTTTTTAGCATGGGTGTTCCTTGTCTTCCCAAGGCCATCAAGAACCGTTTATGAATTGCCACTGTTTCTTACATAATTCTTGCTAGCAGTGCTTTTCTGCACTTCATTGCCCCCAATAGCATGTATAAATTCAATAAATAATCATCATAATCATAATGTATGCCGTCTTCCCCTTCCTGTAGTTTCCAGCAACTGGTCATTTCAGAAGCATCGCTGCCTCCAACTGTTCAGGCGGAGCAAAGCCATCCTGCCAGTAGCCATCCATCGCCCTCTCCTCTCCCTCCTCCGAGGAATTCGTCTACTCCCCTTTGAAAGGCACCCAAGTTGGGTGGCCGCCGCTGTCCCCGCGGGAGCGAGTTCCGCAGATTAACAAGGCGCTGCGCGGAGGAAGAACGGCTTCCTTTGCCCTCTTCTCCCGACTCCGCCAACTGCAAGGCTGTACACCGTAACGCAAAGACTGCCGCTGTACTTTCGAGGAGAGCGGTGAAAGCGCGGCGTGGAAATGCCGCCTCTCCGCCAACAACCCTCAAGGAGACGAGGGCGCCCAGGGGTGGGGGCTTGTCGGCGAAGTAGGTGCCGGGGCGGACGCCCTCACCAGGTCCTCCAGGTGCCTCAGCCCAGCGGCGCCCCTTCCCCGACAAGAGGTGCAGCAGCGGCTCCCCGCCGCCGCCGCCGCAATAATACCTCAGCGGTGCAGAAAAACAGGAAAGAGCTAACGGCCCGCGCTTGCCCCTCGCGCGGCCCTGGGCTCCCCTCAGCGCAACCCGCACCTGAGGCCCCTCCGGCTGCCCCCGTTCCCGCGGCGGGCGGCTCCTCGTCCATGGCTCGCCTCCTTCTCTCTCGGCAGTCATGTGAGGAGGCGGCGGCGGCGGCGGCGTCCTCGGGACCCTTCCTGGCGCCCTCCCCTTCCTCCCGCCCGCCTTCGCTCCCCCTCGGCCGGGGAGGCGGCGCCGGGGCGGGCGAGAGGCTCGCTGGCTGCTGCTGCTGCTGCCCGGGACAAGGCGAAGAGGAGAGCGCTGGGGGACAGGGCTGGTTGCTGTTGGAACTGAGCCCCGCCGCGCCTTTTGCCGAGCCTGCGTTCAGACGTGCAGCGGGTCAGACGCGCGTCCGGTGGGTTCTGAAAACGGGAGCGGGGGGCTCGGTCCACTGCGGCGCGCAGGACTCCCTGCGGACGGAGAAAGAAGCAGCAGCAACAGCTGCCCGGCTTCCTCTCCGGCGCACGTGTCGCACGTCCGAGAACAGCAGAGCATACTTTATTTATTGGGTTGATTTATTCGGGGCTGTTCTAGGAAAAGAGGTGCCGGAACTCACCATGAACGCCTCCCTTGTTCTCTAATGGCGCCCACCTGAAAGGTGCTGGAAAGGAGTTCTGGCTGGAAAAAAATGCCTTAGGTTTATTAATTATATTTTTATGCCGCTTTTCATCCCAGTGAATCCCAACGCAGCTTACAAGGTTGCAGGGTTTTTAGCTGGAGCAATCAGAATAAGATCCACTATTTGACTATTGATTCAGAACCCTAAAATGTATTTTATATAATTGTTTTTTAATTTCTATTCTTGCTATGGCAGATGGCTAACACAAATAAAGATTCATTCTCTCTCTCAGCTTACAAGCAATAAGCAACAACAGCATGATAGCACATCACAAATACATATATCATAGAACTATAAAGTTGGGAGGGGACCCTCCCTGTCATCTAGTCCAACCCCCTGCAATGCAGGAATCTTTTGCCCAACGTTGTCGAACATAGGACCCTGAGGTGAAGAGTCTCTACCGACTGAGCTGTTCATCCAGCAGTGTAATACGGTATAAATTATGTAGACTGATTAAAAAACCGTCAGCGAAGCAATTACAAAGCAATCTCTAAAACACCGTTAACAAAGCACCAACTGGAAAATAAGCTAGATGTCACAATTAAAGCAAAAGTCATGTTATGTGATTAACAACTCGGTGCAATGTTCATAATCTATAAAATATTAGCAACATTAACATAACAGCTGCCCAAAAAAATGAATTGAGCAGTGTTGAATTCATGCACACTCCCCACATCCCCATGACTCGTAATCGCTCCGTTCAGCTCATTAAAATGCACATACGCATAATGCCCATGGCAGCAGCTCTCTTCTGAAGGTTCCTCTGGCTGGAGGTGGGGCAGCGCAGGTGGGAAAAGTCATTACCTGCTGGGCAACACGGAGTCTCACACCCCTCACCCTTGCAGTGCGCTGCTTGGTGCTGAAAATGTGAAGCAATGATCTTTCCTCGGGGGCAGCCGTGGCCTGCTGAAGGGCACATCTCTCCCAACGAGAAGAATAGGGATGAGGGGAAACAACCCAAGTTCTGTTTGCAGTTCTGTCATGCAGTTCTGTTTGCCTCAAAGCCTGATTTTTTCACTCTGCACATGTGTCATGGCACGTTACAAGCCGCCTTGTGATGGGGCTTAAAAATTGCAGCCCCACCAAGTCAAAATGTTACCACCTGCCAGTGCCTAAATACACACCATCATCATCATCATTATTATTGAATTTATAAAAGTACAAAAAACAGCTGAAGAATAAAAGAAAAATGAAAGAAAAAATAGATACATTACATCAATCCTTAATTCTATTCCATCAAGTTCCTGTCTATCCTTCCATGGCTCCCTAAAGTTTCCCATTCCTGCTGCATATTCTATTTTTTCTAATTATTTAAACATTCAAATTCATAGAATCATAGAGTTGGAATAGACCACAAGGGCCATCGAGTCCAACCCCCTGCCAAGCAGGAAACACCATCAGAGCACTCCTGACATATGGTTGTCAAGCCGCTGCTTAAAGACCTCCAAAGAAGGAGACTCCACCACACTCCTTGGCAGCAAATTCCACTGTCGAACAGCTCTTACTGTCAGGAAGTTCTTCCTAATGTTTAGGTGGAATCTTCTTTCTTGTAGCTTGGATCCATTGCTCCATGTCCGCTTCTCTGGAGCAGCAGAAAACAGCCTTTCTCCCTCCTCTATGTGACATCCTTTTATATATTTGAACATGGCTATCATATCACCCCTTAACCTCCTCTTCTCCAGGCTAAACATGCCCAGCTCCCTTAGCCGTTCCTCATAAGGCATCGTTTCCAGGCCTTTGACCATTTTGGTTGCCTTTCTCTGGACACGTTCCAGTTTGTCAGTGTCCTTCTTGAACTGTGGTGCCCAGAACTGGACACAGTACTCCAGGTGAGGTCTGACCAGAGCAGAATACAGTGGCACTATTACTTCCCTTGATCTAGATGCTATACTCCTATTGATGCAGCCCAGAATTGCATTGGCTTTTTTAGCTGCCGCGTCACACTGTTGGCTCATGTCAAGTTTGTGGTCAACCAAGACTCCTAGATCCTTTTCACATGTACTGCTCTCAAGCCAGGTGTCACCCATCTTGTATTTGTGCCTCTCATTTTTTTTTTGCCCAAGTGCAATACTTTACATTTCTCCCTGTTAAAGTTCATCTTGTTTGTTTTGGCCCAGTTCTCTAATCTGTCAAGGTCGTTTTGAAGTGTGATCCTGTCCTCTGGGGTGTTAGCCACCCCTCCCAGTTTGGTGTCATCTGCAAATTTGATCAGGATGCCCTTGAGTCCATCGTCCAAGTCATTGATAAAGATGTTGAATAAGACCGGGCCCAAGACAGAACCCTGTGGCACCCCACTAGTCACTCTTCTCCAGGATGAAGAGGAACCATTGATGAGCACCCTTTGGGTTCGGTCAGTCAGCCAGTTACAAATCCACTGAGTGGTAGCATAGTCAAGACCGCATTTTACCAGCTTCTTTACAATAATATCATGGGGCACCTTGTCGAATGCCTTGCTGAAATCAAGGTAGGCTACATCCACTGCGTTCCCTTCATCTACCAGGCTTGTAGATTCTTCTCATTCTAAACTATAATTCTTCTCATTATAAACTATAACTGCTGAGCTTACTCCATATTGGCTTCCATTCCTCTTAAAAACTTTTCTCTTCTTCCTCTCTAATTTTTCTGGTTAAGTTTGCTAATTCTGCATATTCCATCAATTTCATCTGCCACTCCTCCTTTGTAGGTACAGTGGTACCTCGGGTTAAGGACTTAATTCGTTCTGGAGGTCTGTTCTTAACCTGAAACTGTTCTTAACCTGAGGTACCACTTTAGCTAATGGGGCCTCCCACTGCTGCCGCGCGATTTCTGTTCTCATCCTGAAGCAAAGTTCTTAACCCGAGGTACTATTTCTGGGTTAGCGGAGTCTGTAACCTGAAGCGTCTGTAACCTGAATCATCTGTAACCCAAGGTACCACTGTACTATCTCCTCTCTCCATCTGTGTGGATATAGGATTATTGCTGCTGTAGTGGCATACACAAATAAATTTATTTGTTTACTTGGTACCTCATACCTCATTATTCCTAACAGAAAGGCCTCTAGACTCTTTGGAAAGCTCTTCTGAAATATTTTTTTTAATTCATTATATATCATTTACCATTATTCTTTAACTACTCTGAAGGTCTACAACATATGGTAAAAAGTTCCATCCGTAGCTTTACGTTTACAACATTTACCTGATTGTGACTTACACATTTTCGCTAATTTATTTGACATCAAGTACCATCTGTAAATCATTTGCCAATAATTTTCCTTAACAGCATAGCAGACCATGAATTTTAATCCTGTTTCCCACAGCTTTCCCCACAAGTCTAACACTATTGTGGCCCACATCTCTAGCCCATTTGATCATTGCTGTTTTCACCATGTCATCCTTTGTCTCCTTTTCTAATAATAACTTGTACATTTTAGAAATTAACTTCTCATTATTATCTAGCAGCTCTTTCTCAAATTCTGAGGTCTGTTCTATAAAACCGCATTGTTTATCAACTTTAAATATTTCATTCATTTGACGGTATGATTGCAACCAGTCTGTCACCTGGTTACCAACTTCTTCCATCTTCTTCAGGCTTGTGTCTGTGAAGTCCAGTAGTTCTCTATACTGTATGTTGCCCATCCTTTTTCCATATTCGATTTTTTCAGTTCTTCCTTGGGAGTAAGTTCTGCTAAACTCCCAGCAGCCCCCAAGAAGTTGGTCTATCTATAAGATGGAAGAGGTAATTTATTGACTCTGGATTCACAGGCCTTATCTGAGAGTGGGAATATGGTAACAGTTCTTGGGGTCCTAATTGATATTAATAGTGTACATCAGTCCATGTACTTAAAATGGTCTTACAGGGACACCTCATTTAGTTGTCAGTGTGTATTACTTCAGTTACTTAAAAATATGGTAAGCCAGCCCTATGGGGCTGAGTGGGGCCCTGGACCTCTGCCCCAAAGTCCTGCCCTGACAACGCAGTTGACTGCAGCCTGCGGTCTGCATTGCCATAAGATGCTGCACTGCAGAAAACAATACCCAAGACAGCTCATTAAGTGTTCAATATCTCCACCTTTGTTTTGTAACTCTGAAATGTTTAATACAAATACTGTTTTTTAAATAATAACAACCCCACTCAAATTCTCATACACTGGAGACTTCAGGGCTCACAGAGCAGGACTTCTGGATAACTTTTCACGTTGGGATTTAAGTATTGGAACCAAGAACCCAAAAGAAATGATCCAGACTGAAGCCTCCCTAAAGAATGCACAGAGCGCTTTTAACTCCAGGGTGACCACGAGCACTTTACAGTTGCATGCTATTATTAATCATTATTATTAAGGCCATTGCCTTCCGTTAAGAGTTTGGGTGTAATCCTTGACGCCTCCCTTTCCATGGAGGCGCAAGTTACAGCAACAGCCAAGGCGACATTTTTCCACCTTCGCCGCATCAAGCAGTTGGTCCCTTACCTTTCCCGCCCCGACCTGGCCACAGTGATCCATGCGACGATCATCTCCAGGCTTGACTACTGTAATTCGCTCTACGCGGGGCTGCCCTTGAAGCTGTCCCAGAAACTCCAGCGGGTACAGATGCTGCAGCGAGGCTCCTCACGGGGTCTCTGCCATGGGAGCATATTCACCCAGTGCTTTTCAAGCTGCACTGGCTCCCGGTGGAGTACAGGGTCAGATTTAAGGTGCTGCTTTTGACCTTTAAAGCCCTTCACGGCCTAGGACCCTCGTACCTACGGGACCGCCTCTCCTGGTATGCCCCACGGAGAGCCTCAAGGTCCATAAATAACAACACCCTAGTGGTCCCAGGCCCTAAGGAAGTTAGATTGGCTTCAAACGGAGCCAGGGCCTTTTCAACTC